CATCGACTTCCAAGTAGCTAGATTATAGCTGTGAGACTCCATGCCTGGCCCACATTTTTTTTTTTGAAACAGGGTTTCACTATGTAGTCTAGGCCAGCTTTGAACTCACTATCCTCCTGCCTCGATCTCCCCAGTGCTGGGATTACAGATGTTCATGCTGCCATGCCCAGGTGGCTACATTTTTAAAAATTACAAAGAAGTGATTGAACTTAATTTTATGAATGTATTTTATTTAACCCACTATTTCCATTCCTTTGCAATGTGGTCCTACCAAAGCATTTGTGTTGTTTCAGAGCAGAGTATTTTATATTGTTTCTGCTGTTCAAATTGTATTTAAATTATTGAAATTTATTTGAAATATAATTGCAAATTGTCTCTTTCTTGGTCACATTTGCCAAGACCCAGGTTCTAAGTAGATACCACATTGATCAGGTCAGCTCTAAACCATGTTTACTTCCCTGTCTTGCTTGTGGACTGTGGACTGACACAAAGAGGGTGTCTCCAGATAGTAATTGGGAGGATAGATGGATGGATGAGTGGATGGATGAGTGGATGGATGAGTGGATGGATGGGTGGATGGATGGATGGATGGTTGGATGGTTGGACTGTTGGATGGATGGATGAATGATGAATGTGTGGATGATGGTGGATGGTGGATGGTGGATGGTGGGTGGTGGGTGGTGGATGGTGGGTGGTGGGTGGTGGGTGGTGGGTGGTGGGTGGTGGGTGGTGGGTGGTGGTGGGTGGTGGGTGGTGGTGGGTGGTGGGTGGTGGATGGTGGTGGATGGTGGGTGGTGGGTGGTGGGTGGTGGATGGTGGATGGTGGGTGGTGGGTGGTGGATGGTGGATGGTGGATGATTGGTGGATGGGTGGATGGATGGTGGATGGGTGCCTGGATGGATGATGATTGGGTGAAGAGATGGATGAATGATTGGACGGACAAAAGGAGGGAAGGATGGTTGAATGGAGGGATGTGTATTAGTCAGCTTTTCACTACTATAACAAAATGCCTGAGTCAGAGTATTTTTATAAAAGGAAGAAGTCACAGATCTGGAAAGACAAGGTCCAACCAGCACTGTGCAGGCGCTTGCTATCCCCGTTCCAAGCCACATTACATCACGGTGGCTGTGTTGTTTATTTCTTTGTTACTATCAATGTGTGGTCTCTCTCCAGGACGCATTCATGGAAGGGGAGAGGGGCTCCGCCCTGATGATCTAATCTAATCACCTCCCGAAGGCACCACCTCTAAACATCATAGTTGGATTAAGTTTCCCGTTCTTAATACCGGTAACACGACACTTTGGGGATTAAATTTCTGCCTGAGTTCCAGGGAACAAATCATATTTAAATCATAGCAGATGGACGGCTGGAAGGATGAATGGATGCGTTGGTCTTGCACCTCCCACTGGTCCTCCCAGCTGGCACAGGGTCCCCCTTGCTTTCTCCCACTCTCCACCCTCGCACTGTCCTCCCTGGGTACCCAGATCCCCTCTGTGCGCCCCCTCGACCCTGGCCCTCCCTCCCTGTGATGATTCACTCACTCCATCCACAAGCATTGATCTATGTCAAGTGCTTCCTTGGGACACAACAGCTGATAAGACAGTACAAGCTGTGTCCTCGTGTGTTTGACAGTAAGCAAAAAATCTAGGAAGTCAGATGGTGACAAGTGCTACAGAAAAAGGAAACCCAGAAAGGCAGTAGATCTTGGTGGGCCCCTTGGGGGAGGTGACATGGGAGAGACTTGGATGGAGGGAGGCTGTGAAGCTCCCAGTCCTCCTGGGGGACGGCATACCTGACCAAAAATGCAAAGGTCCTGTGTGGGAATGAAGCAGGGGGAGATGACAGGGAAATTACCGAAAACTTAAAAAGACCAGATTTGGGAATCAAACAGAACGAGGAAGAAATGGCTAAAGCAGCGTCTGTCACACTCCCCTGTACATGTTACTAAGTTACAATCTCCTTGAGTGGGTGAGGACACAGAAAAGAAAAGGCCTGTCTAGCGGATGACACTCTGTTACACATTTCGAGTTATTATAAAACCAATTTTAGCCAAGCTTTAGGCAATACATTCACCCCAAACCCATTGTCTCCTTGCTTAGAAATTTAGCAAAAATAACTAGGGTTTGCTAGACAATGTGACCTTGTGTCTAGATGGGAGTTCAAGATGGAGTCACTCAGGCCAAGAGTATAAATACACCCAGGGCAAGGTCTGCCATTTTGAATCTTCATTGTTTCCAGCTGCTGCACGTCCAGCACGAGGTGCTTCTCTTTCCCGTTCCTGTTTCTCCCTACTTTATCCTCTTTTGCTAAGTAAATCCTTAATGAAAACTTTGTGATACTCTCCTTTTTGCGAAACCCTTCGTTGTGGATCTCCAGTTCCTGTGAATTGCAGGGACACGGGGAAGCTGAGTGACACCCCATACACACTCCCTGTCCTTTTCCATACAGGAATGTCCTGGGCCTCCTTCTGGTCAGTTCCCTGCCATCCCCCACCTCAGGATGTCCCCCAGACCTCCCTTCCCTTCTTTATCCTCCACTAGACTCACTCTGTATCTTCCTTGATGCTGCTGCTGCCCAGGGAAGGCTCCTGATCCCCCAAGTCTTCCTCTCTGTCCCCCTAAGAGCCCAGAATTCCCTTCCCTGTACTCTCCCTTAAGACTCCTGGCTGACACAGGTGTCCTTCTCCTCTGGTTCCCATGCACTGCAGGGGCCTGGTGACTGGGGGACAGACAAGACAGGAGTGTCACCTCCTTAGGAACAAAGGGTTGTTGAAGATAAAACAAAACAGGAAGTGGCCCAAGCCCAGGGCCAAGCAGGGCATCTCTGTGCAGCCTCCATCCCAACATTAGGGGAGTCTACCCAGCCCAGACAGGGTCCCTATCATCTCATCCTTCTGCTTGGACACACTGTAAGGACAGGACTTCAGTTGTGGCCGAAGGCAGATGTGTACAGAGACGCCCCACAACTCAGCATCTCAGAGATGGGTGGAAAAACCAAGGAGATGGGACACTCCAGGACATTTGTCTTCTGCCCATCTTTAGTGTGAAGGTGGGCAGTGCTGTGTGACCTTGAGTACATCCCACTACCTCTCTGAGCCCCTTTTTTTTTCTTTGATATACGCATTTTACTCTGAGCCCCTTTACCACAACTGCTAAGAATCTGACAACTCCCACCTCCCTCATGTACATGATAAGAGTTGGTCAGTAAACACAATTTTAAAAATCATTCATTTTTTAAAAATTTAAGTGTTTATTAAATTTTAAAAATAAAAATTTTTAAATTATTCAATTTTTTAAAAAATTACTCATCTGACTGAAATTTCTCTGGCATAAACCAGGAAAATGAGGATAAATTTCTAGAAAAAGCCTACCACAATGTTCATGGTATCATCTCCATGAGTGGAGGGGCTCAGAGACTTTATTTTCTTTTTAGACTTAACCTGCTTAGAAGCTGATGTTTTAACAAGTCACACCTATTCTTTTCGTTCAATAAAGTCATCCTTTCTGACAGGGGCTGGGTTTCAGGCCAGACTCCCAGAGCCTCAAGGGTCTGAGACAGAGAGGGACAGACAGATTGGAAGTACAGATGCTTTTCCAAGCACCTGAGAAATATCTTACTTGGTTCTTGCAGGATAACCTCGAGCTCAGGATTCTTCTGCCTGAGCCTTTCAAGTGCTGGGGTTACAGGCGTCCACCACCATGCTCTGCTAAGGGTGCCATTTACAGGTGGGGAAACCAAGGCACGGAAGCCTCAGGCCTGGCTGCAGGCCCCACAGCTGGAAGGTGCCATAGCTGGAATTTGAACCAGGACCAGGACCTTCCAACTCCCTGCCAGCCATGGCCAGTGGCTGTCTCTTGCTTCTATGGGACTCTCCCTGCCTCTCCCAGTCTCTGATCCTCTGCATGTGATTCTGTCCCTTCTTGGTGTCTTTGTCTCTCTGGCCCTGACTTCCCATGTGTCTCTGTCATTTGATCTCTCTGTGCCTCCTACCCTCTGTGTGTCTTTGTCTTTCCCTTGGCCTCAGTCCCCACTTGGTTTCTCTGTGTCTCTCCCTGGTTCTAACCCCACTCCACCACTGTCAGTCATGGTCTGTGCTGGTGGACCCGGCTACAACTCTCTCTCTCTCTCTCTCTCTCTCTCTCTCTCTCTCTCTCTCTCTCTGTTTTTCTGCCTCTTGCAAAATCAACACCCGAGGGAAGAGTTACTGTCTCCTTCCCAGCCTGCTCCCAGCGCTCTTGGCCAACAAGAGCTGCTCAACAAATAGTTCTTGAATAAACATGAATGAATGAGTGAATGAATGAATGAATGAATGAGTGGGTGGGTGGGTGGTTGAAATGGATGGATGGGTGAATGGGTTGGTGAGTGGGTGGGTGGGTAAGTGGATAGATGGATGGATGGATGGATGGATGGATGGGTGAATGAATGGATGGATGGATGGATGGATGGGTGGGTGGATGGGTGGGTGGGTGGGTGGACAGATGGGTGAGTGGGTGCATGGATGGATGGATGGGTGAATAGATGGATGGATGGATGAGTGAATGGATGGATGGATGGATGGATGGGTGAATGGATGGATGGATGGATGGATGGGTGAATGAATGGATGGATGGATGGATGGATGGGTGGGTGGATGGGTGAGTGGGTGGGTGGATGAACGGTGGGTGGGCAGATGCATGGATGATAAAGAAGGAAAGAATGAACTCCTGGGGATGGAGGGGACCCAGCTCCATTTGCGGGATGAGCCAAGTGAGATTCCAGGTGAGCTACACCTGTGCAGAGCAGCTGCGCACGCACGGCCTTGGCTCTGTCCCCGCCGCCCTCACGGCCCAGGACGTGCCACTGCCGTCGGTCCCGCCCTCGCCCTCGGAGCAGGGTGGCTCCGGCTGCTCCCGGGCTGGCAGGCGTGGGTAGCAGCTGGGAGAACCGGCTGCGCGCCCCTCCCCGTGGGCCGGGCCAGGAGGTGGCACCTGGCGACTCGGCTCTGCGGGCGCGACAGACGCTGCTGTGCACACCTGGCCGCCGCCGGCTCCCTGCTCGTCCTTCCCTCCCCGCCCTCGCCCACCCGCTATGGACAAACCCCATATCCCGGTCCTGTGGGACACCTACGAGAACATCTCGGAGCTCAGGTGAGGCCAGTGGCGCGCCAAGCAGGGCACCTGTGCGGGACGCGGTGGCCTGCGGCCGAGCCTGCAGCCCGGGCAGGCGACAACCGTGGCGCCCAGGCCCCGGGGAGGGGGACAAAGAGCAGAGGACCGGGCTGTGCTGAGTGTCTGCTGAGAAGCCTCAGGCGCCCTGGTTCCTCTGGAACCTCAGTTGTTCCGTCTGTCAGAGGGGTCCGTGGAGCTGAAATCTCAAGCTTGCTGTACCCCATTTCTTCCCAGGGCACCCCAAGAAAGCCTTGCAGTAATAGGGCTGCTTTTCCTCATGAGGCTCAGAATGTGACACTGGCTCCTTGTGGGGGAGGGGAGCACAGGTGGGCAGCATGGGGACACTTGAAGCAGGAGGAACAAGATGTCCTGGGGCAGGGAGCCTGGGGGACAGGGTGGGATGGGGAAGACAAACTCCTCCTCCTTAGTGGGAAAGTTTAGGACAGAGGTCTCCCGCTTCATTCCTGGGGATGAGGATGAGTCAGACACTGGGATAGTATCCGCTATCATTTCCCACGTGGGGAAACTGAGGCGGCGACCAGTCTCACTGCTAGAAGCAGATGTGAACCCAGGCTCTGTGGTTTCTTCCTGTCCTGGTGGACTTGACTTGTCCCCTTGGCTCCATCTGCAGAGTCTCAGAGGTCACAGAATGTGGGCTGGGGTGGGAAGGGGATTCCCTCCAACCCCGGTTTTTTGCTCTTGCTAGGAGAGACTTTTTTTTTTTTTTGGCAGTGCTGGAGTTTGAACTCAGGACCTCACACTTGCTAGGCAGTTGCTTTCGAGCCACTCTGCCAGCCCTGTTTTGTGATGGGGTTTTTAGAGATAAGGGCTTATCAAACTGTTTACCCGGGCTGGCCTTGAATTCTGATCCTCCTGACCTCTGCCTCCAGAGTAGCTAGGATTACAGGCGTGAGCCACTGGCACCCCGCTCAGGAGAAACTCAGTCTCCTGGGATGAAATTAAATTGGGTATCTGCAGTCCCTTGTGTGTGACTTTAAGATCTCAAGTTTCCACTGGCTTCTGGACCCCCTGAACCCAGACATACACCTTTTAGGAGCCCTTGATCACTTTCTGGGGACAATTCCTAATGGAGCCCTCCTCCCAGGCCCCTCAGACACGCACAATGTCCTCCTCCTTCTTCAATTGCCTCTCTGTCCCTGGCTAGGCCTCCGGGCATCATTCTTGCTCCCACTTTACCCTGGGCACCCCCCATCTCAATGGCCTGTCATTTCCAAGTCCCACCCCCCTGTCCCCAGACAATGTTCCCAGCTCAGAATCCGTCCTCTTTTCCTGGACCCAGAGATGCCTTTCCCTTCCTCCCCATCATCGTGTGACATTCCAGCACCCCAGACCCTCCAGGTTCTGCTCTGCTGGCCTCACCCCCACCCCCAGCCATCTCACCTGCATTCCATCCACCCTATGACTTCACATTCCCTGGCCACACCCGGAGCTTCCCTGCCCCCGTGCCTTTGCACATCTGTTTCTTCACTTCCTAAGAACTCAGAGCACTTCTCTTGTAAAGAACCAAGTCTGTTCCCCACTCCCAACTTTTGTGGCTCCCCAGTCCAGAGCAATGCTTTCAAAGCTTTTTTAAGACTCAGATTTCTTATACCCAAGAGAAATCTTTCTCCTAAACAGAAACACATAATAGGGATCAGGATTGAAATGGAGGTATGGAACTGGGGTCCAAGGCCCCCCTTTCTCCCCATCTGCCTTGTTTTTTGCTTTGTTTTTTTTTAAAAGAGGGTCTCACTTTCTAGCCCCACCTATCCTTGAACTCAAGATGCTCCTGCCTCAGCCTTCTAAGCGGTGGGGTTACAGGTGTACCTCACCACACCTGGCCTTGTCATTTGTCCTTCCTGTTGAACTCAGGTCTCTCTACCTTACAGTCCCCACCTCTCCCATGGCCTTGCCTTCCATCTGCTGCTTCTTGTCCCCTCGGTCAGCCTCAGGGCTTTTGAACATGTGATTTCCTCTCCCCTAGTGACCTCTGCCCTCTCTCTTGCCTTTGCCAAATTACTTCTCAGATGTGAAGGTGCAACACAGGCCATTTAGGATTCCTCGGTGGGAGAGGCAGATCCAGCCAGGGGCATCAAGATGTTTATCTGTCATTGATAGGGACCCTTGAGAATGATGTCTAGGGATGGACGGATGGACGGATGGATGGACGGATGGATGGATGGATGGATGGATGGAAGGAAGCAAGATTGGGTAAATCTACGGGGTAAATGAGGAGGGGCTGGGCGTGGTGGGACAGTGGCAAAGGAAAAGAGCCTGGACAGAGAATGAGAGGCAGTGGGATGAAAGGGGAAGGACAGGAGCAGCATCCCCAAGGGACCCTGGTCAAGCAGTGACAAGAGAGGCTCCTGAGGTCAGATGAAAGAAACAGCCCAGAAGCCTGGTTTGCTTTAAGCTGTTTTGGGGTCCCAGGCTTATGTGATCCAATGATCCAAGATTTAATTCAGAAAAAATATATGTATACTTTAGCTGCTGGCTCACGCCTGTAATCCTAGCTACTCAGGAGGATCACAGTTCAAAGCCAGCCTGGGCAAATCGTTTTTGAGACCCTATCTTGAAAAAGCCCATCACAAAAAAAGGGCTGATAGAGTGGCTCAAGGTGTAGACCCTGAGTTCAAGCCCCAAAGAAGTGGGCGGGACAGGTGAGAAAGAGAGGGTGAAGGTATCCCATGATCCCCGAAACACCTGGCCGCTCCTAACACATCACGTATTCTCTCTGGTAATCTCCCAGTGACCTCCGGGAGATTAACCCAGGCAGTGACTAAGTATATCAGCCCCTTGAAGATTCCAGGCCCAGAGAAGTTGACTTACCCAAGGTCACACAGCTGTCAAATGGGGCGTGGCCAGGAACTGAACCAGGGAAACCTGACTGTATCACTCACACCCTGGATTTGGGGCAGGAGGAAGATCAGGGAGGTTCAAGATGTAGGAGGCAGCCCCTGCCCAGTTTGAAGGCTCAGCCAGGAGTCCATGTTTGGGATTCACTATTTTTCCTTCTGGAGAAGGGGTCAAGGCCAGAGAAGCCAAGCTGGCTTTTGGACCTGGGTGGCCTTGATAGAAACAGCCTCAGTTGCTGCTCCTCCCTCCCTCTGATCTCGAGTCCCCTGCTGGGCACTTTCTGATCTCTGCTCTTTATGTCCGGGTTGACAGCAGGATTTACAGCTGGCCCCTCCTTTTTCTGGGACAGCCGCACACCTGAATGATTTTACAGCCACCGTCCTAGCTGGGTTTATTAAAAAAGATTTTCGACAACAAACACATCCTATGACAACGGTGACCCTGGCCACCTGGGCGGGATTTGGTGGTCAGAGTGAGCAGTAACAGATGCTCCCAGGCTCCCAGGCTCCCAGAACACAATCTCTTCCTACCTGCACCGTGGTCCCCCATGGGTACCAGCAGAGGCTCAGGTGGAAAGGGGGGACGCCCATCTAGACCCCCTGTGGAAAGCAGGAGGAGCTCCGTGTGCCACCTCTAGAATGCTGTGGGGGAGGGGGTGGACCTCAATGATATCGAATGTACCAGGTTTTTGTTGATTGGGTTGGTTTCTCCCTTTTCCAGTCCCCAGGGGACCCTCCTGAGCCAGGACCACAGGTGTTGGGAAGGGTGGAAACAAGGAAGAATGAGTAATTGCGACCTTCCAATACAAGCCTGAGCAGAAAGTTAGGGTGACCCTATCTCAAAAAAACAAGCCAATCCTGGTGGTACACATCTGTAATCCCAGCTACTCAGGAAATGGAGGTAGGCGGATGGAATTCAAAGCTGGATCCAGACAAAAGCTCAAGACCCTATCTGAAAAATAACGAAAGCAAAAAGGGATAGAGAAAAGAAGAAAGGAAGGAAAGGAGGGAGGGAGAGAGGGAGGGAGGAAGGAAGGAAGGAAGAAGGATCTCAGGGGCTCACCTGTAATCCTAGCTATTTGGGAGGCTAAAATCTGGAGGATCGCCGTTTGAGACCAGTCCAGGCAGATAGATCCCAAGACCCCATCTCCAAAATAACCAGAGCAAAATGGCCTGGAGGAGTAGCTCAAGCGATCGAGTGTCTGCTTTGCAAGTGAAAGGCCCTGAGTTCAAACCCCAGTCCCACCAAAATAGAGAAAATGAGAATGAATGTCAGTCATATGTTTTATTTAACCTGACAGAACTGAAATGCCATTTCAGCCCATAACCCATGTTTAGAAATCCTCGGTAAGTCCTCTTCCCTCCCTCCCCTACGCCCTGGAGCAGTGATGTCCTTTGTTGCATTCAGAGCTCATCAGTTTTACTGCTAAAGAGGCCGGGTTCCTTGCAGGCCCAAGCTGTCCCTGGCCTGCTTAGGAAGCCTGGCTTTGCGCATGGCGGGCCTGTGCTGGAGGCGACCTCAGCGACACTGAAGGCAAATTAAAAACTCAGGTGCAGTGCCACCCCTAGCACCACCAAAAACCCAAAACCCACCCCCTCACTTCCCAGTCATGGCAACACATGGCAAAGGTGGCTGGTGGCTGTCACATCAGACAGCATAGGCGTGGGACATTTCTGAACCCAAACAAGGTGTCCTGAGGCTCAGCTCTGGACTGGGAGGGCCCAGGGCAGGAGAGGCATACAGAGGAGCTTAATAAATGTATGGGGCCTGGCAGAGTGGTTTAAGTGTTGAGTGCCTGCCTAGCAAGCAAGGCCCTAAGTTCAAATCCCAGTGCCAAAAAAATAAATGTATGGGGTGGAGGAAGAAAGGGGGTGAAGGCACACAGAGACAGAGAGAGAAAGAAGATGGGGAGGAGAGGACGAGAGAGAGGGAGAGGAAAAAAGAGAGGGGGTTAGACAGAGAGTGAGAGAGAGAGACAAAGAGAAAGAGGAGAGGGGAACAGAGAGAGGGAGAGGGAGAGAGAAAGAGAGAGGGAAAGGAGACAGGGTGGGGGAGGGAGACGGAAGAGGAGGGGGAGGGGGAGGGGGCAGCGCCCCAGGCCAGGGCTGCCAGGGCCCTGTGTG